CGATCCGAAAAAGCCCGATACATCCCGGAATCCCGCGATTGATATTTTGACCGTTCATGTTCATGTGATTGACCGTTTCTTCGTTCACGTGATTAGACCAAAACAAAGTGAGACAATGATGCGTATATATATATATACAGGGTGTCCGGTAACTAACGGACCAATGATTAAGGGCGGATTCTCTGGCCAATTTGGAGACGATTTTTCCTTAGCAAAAATGTTGAGAAGTCAATAATTTTTGAATTATAAGCGATTGAAAAAAATGGATTTTTTGAAAACTAAACGTTTTGGAGTTAAAAGTCTAACATAATTACATTCTTCAGTTAATTTCAGGTAGAGTTTATTATAATAAAATTTTAATTTGAGGCTGAGTTATAAAGATACATAATGACAAATATTGGAAAGTTGTAAAAAATGATGACCTTTTTCGACATTTTCGCTGAGGAAAAATCGTTCCCAAATTGACCAAAGAATCCATTTGTAATCGTTGGTCCGTTAGTTACCAGACACCCTGTATAAAAGAAAACCGTGTCTCTTGTCTCGATTAGCACATCCCAACAGATACATGTCCAAACATCGTGCAAATTCGTGAAATATAATAACATGGAATAATAATTCTAAACACCGGCCGCCTTGGAAGACGTCGTCTTACAATAATAATAAATAAACTCAGGGTCACATACATGCGGCAGGCATACAATATGATTGATACGCTTCGTCAAATAACAGTGAATATGTATATTAAATAATATGCTTTGTAACGCAAAGAAAATAAATAATATATAATGAGTAAAGTGTAGTATAAATGATAAGAGTCGTCCTCAATTCAAATATCAACTCGGCTTCGCCTCGTGCGTCAAACTTCCGCACTCTCGGCCGATTTACGATTCCCCGCACTTGTTACCTAATATACTATTAAATATTTTAATAAACTTGATTAATAGCAGTTAAGAGAAACATTTAAACTATATTTTTAAATCTAATATTAAAACCTAAACTAATATTTTTAAAACATTTTATTAATATTTTAAAAAATCAATGTTATTAAATAATATTTAAAATATTTATAAAACATCATAACGATTAAAATATTTATATAAAATCAATATTTTTAAATGTTATAATATATAATTTTATTATTTATTTTATAATATATATTATAGAATTTTATTATATATAACACACACACACACACACACACACACACACACACACACGTATATTGTAACGCTTACAAAATAATTTACAACTTATTCAAAATCCTAAATATTTATTATATTTCAAATATAATTAAAAATTATGTCAAATATATGATATTAAAAAATAAAGTTATTTTGACAAGTATATAGTTGTTGCCAAAATTGGATTATTAAATATCTGTTGTGGGATTTTTTATATACTTATTCCACATAGTAATTAAAGCTTTATTACGCATTTTTAATAGAATACTCTCGGTAATAATTATTTATGTTGTAAATTGCACACAATTATATTTTTTTATAAATTATTATTTTGAAAAATACAATATCTTCAAAAAATATATATTTATTTAATTCTAGCAAAGTTATTTCAAATATAACACACAAGCAATTTAGTTGTAAATATTTACATACGTTTAGCAACAAAGAAAGAGAAATATTTGAAATCTTTTAAATAGATAAACAAAAAATATTTATAATTAACGTTTAAAAAATTAGAAAAACTTAACATTTTTTAATTATAAAATTTAATAAAAAAGTATTATATAATGAAGTATTAATAAAAATAACATTAATACAATATTATTATGCTTGATTTTAATTTAGCATAAAAATAACATAATTGTATAAAGTTAAATGCATGTATCAGCGTCATAAAAATTAAAGAAACTCATCTACAATTGTAAATAAATAATGGTAATAAATAATTAGTAAATTATAATGAAGTGCGAAATAGTATTGTGAATTGCACAATCAGTATTCATCAAAGTTTAAACATTTCGGAAAAATTGTTAAAAGAATGCTGATACTAAAGAATATGCAATATTTGATTTGATTGTTATTTTATGCAACACCAACATGTAACATAACAACACAAAAATGTAAGAAAATGATGTGTAGGTGGCACAAGAGTGTTGATGATAAAAATGGTATTAATCGATGATTTAGGCTCCAAAATACGTCTATTTATTTTAAAATCACCTGATTTCAATAATGCTAACAAAAAAAAAACAAATTATTTATCTTATAAAAATTTATTAAAATGTATGTATATGTGTCAAAATATGTACAAAGAGAATTAAGCACTTATTGATAAATTGAATTACGCAAAATAAAAGAATGTATTAATCTATAATAAATGTCTTAACGCAATACGTACCGCGTCTCTCGAGAGAACACAAACACGGTTTCCTTTCTAATGATTTGAGAAAACTAAACTTTATTTGCTTAATTACACAATAGTAATGTCTACTTAATTTTTTGATTAGTCGTACTTTGCTCACGAAGAAACGTATTTATCATCAATGATATTGCGACGTAAATGCTCACTGGCGCACTGTGTGGTGTCCAATCGAATACTGACAGTATCCTGTTATTTGCAATATTATTTGAAGATTAATCTCACCGACATTGTGTAAATTGTGATATCACAAAGTTATGACAAATAGAAACGTATCCTCTATTTTTATTTGCGTGCGAGATAAGATAGATTAAATATTGTATAGAATATGCATCCAACAAAAGATAATTAATGTAGTATGATAAAATAAAAGTTCTTTCTTTCTGTAAAATACAAATCGTATATTGTATTCCGAATAACATGATACTTTTCCGTCATTTTACGATTTTAATTAAATTTTATTTGCCATAAATTTTCTTTATCAAAAGAATTATTTATTATTTATTTTAATTAGACAATATAATCTTTTAAATATGTGATGAATAATTATTTCCTCTTTCTATAAATGCAGTAAAAATATTCTTATACAAAAAATGTGCACCAACGATAACTATAAATTATGATAATTATAATTTTTTATGATAAATATAATTGTAATACTATTTTCTTATCTCAATATTTAACAGTAACTCGATTGCATATCATTACTTTTTCATAATTATGTAATCTCTCTAAACAGATTACATAATTATAATAAATTAGCTTCTAATTTCAAATAGATAAGAAATGTGTATGTATATTTAAAGATATGTAGATTTATTAATATAGATTATATATTTTTCACATTTTAAAATGTGAATCAAGATTAAATATTATTAATATTTTACTTGATAATAATTGATATTTATGCTTTACGTAAAAGAACGTATTTCAGATGTCTTCCATGATCGCGTTGGCACAAATTTTTCTTAAATTATCTGATTTTTATTTTAATTTTTTTGTAATTGCTACATATTAATATTCTTTTTAGCTATATCTTAATAGCCATTTAATTAGTTTCTAATACGTAACATTGCAATCGTAATAAAAGTAAAAAAAAATTATTACTAAGCAACTACTATACATGTTTACTATTATATATGCTAGCTACTATAATTACTAAATTAAACACATCTCGTAACAATACTATAATAATACAAAGTTGAAAAATAACTAGAAAAATAATAATCATTAAGAAATATATAGGTACATAATTCACATAGCTTATTTTCTAATCGAGTAGAAAAAATATATATTTATTTACAAAAAATGTTTATTTATAAGTATAAAAACAATATTTTTTATACAAAAGAAGTTAAGTAAAGTGTAAAGTTAAAAAAAAAATTTATAAAGTATATTAACTTATTATTTGTACCTCAGTTTTATTACCGTATTATTTATTGTATATGTATCATTATGTGTATACAGGGTAAATTTGAAATAAATTCGGACCGTACAGGATGTTGTAGAGAATGAAAATGCAAACAAATAATATAAGTAACGTTTTTGCCTGAGATCAATAATAATTATGAAAATTAGTAATTAGTTTTTTAACACTTAGCAACTAAGTACTATCAGCTGATGCGTACATAAACAAGTCGTTTGGTTGTAAAAATTACACTGCTGCTAGTGTTAATTTAAACTATTTAAAACCCAGATAACAATTTTTGCGTGCAAAATTTGTGCATTTTACGCATATAAACTGTGTACGAAATTTGCCTGAGTTTTGCATGTGGGATATGTTTAGTCGTACATATTGCACGCAAATGGTTAGCTTATGTATTATTTGATACACCAGCAAATTACGTGCAAATGGATATCAAATTGCCAAAAAAATGCCAGTGATGTGATCGAGACAGCAATATGCTTGTTGCATATGCTTATGTATCTTGCTTATAATAAGATCTACTTATAATAAGATGAAATCGCGCGCAAAGTGTGCTAGCATTTGCTATCATTATGACGCGACGCATTAGGATAAGATTTCACTTGCGCAGTATGAGCCGCTTTTGTATGCAATGACTAGGTATTTGCGCGCAAAATGTTTTCTAGGAAGTTTCTTCCTTAACATGAAAAATTAAGATACACACAGACGTTTGTTTTCGCAAAATAGAGGTTTAAAAGTAAGACACTTTTTAATTTTTATATCAATAACTATTCGTCAAATGGAAAAAGTTACTGCCAAGTGTCGAAAAACTAATTACTAATTTTCACGATTATTATTGATCCTAGGTAAAAACGTTACTTGTATTATTTGCTTACATTTTCATTTTCTACAACATCTAGTACGGTTCGAACCAATTTCAAATTCACCCTATATAATTCTTTAAGGCAATTATTTGCAATAGAGCGTATTCAATGATGACTTTCACTTTCATGTTAATAACTTTAAGCCCACGCTACGCGCGAAAGAACATCGAAATTTATTGTTGGACCTAATCTAACATTTGCACAATTTTTAAAAAAAGCCATTGTAATCATTTGCGAAAAATTTGTAAAATTTTGATACCAAGAAAATCTGTCTACTAATAAATTAATAGTTCGTGGTATACTTATATACTTATATGTATATATGTATAGATACATATGTTAGACAACTGAGAATTTATTGTTATATTTATTTTGTTTTATTTCACATTTGTAGATCAATCTCGAGAACTTACTGATACACTTATAAAAATTAGTGTAATCTCTTTAAGTTGACTCAATGAACTGTCAGCAATATAAATAAAAAAGTTATTTTTCATACACGATTAGCACTTGCATCACGTATCATTATCATTACGCACATAGAATGTTGTTCTGCATAATAAAAAGGAGCAAACTCGTTCCCAATGTAGCTCGTTCTTTACATAACTGATGTTTTTATTGCACGTAATATATACAGGGTGTTGAAACTAAAAAGATTAAAACTATTTTCAAAAATATAAGTTTGAAAAAAATATTTAAAATAAAAATTGTAGAATTAAAAATACATATCTATTTATTAATCTTATGATAAGTTTAGATAAAGTTTAATTTAATGAAACATAATTAAAAATGAGTTTTGATTTTGAGAATATTTTTCACAAATATATACAGAAATTAATTAATCTCTCAACTGAAAAATACATATATTTATATATTATTATAAAAGAGTTTTTAATATACACACGCATGAAAGTTTACTTATTTATAATATACATATAATAAAATTAAATCTACATGCCTATGTGTGAGTATACATACATATACATAAAACATATACATATACATATATGTATGTAGTTCATTACATTCAATTTCATACAAATAGCAATAATCATCCAATAGCAAATTATTTAAAATTATAAATATTTTATTCGAATATTTAATATATATTTCTTTTTGAGAGACCAAGTTTTTATAACAAATATATTTCTGCACGTTATCGATACTAATACAAATGTTCGTTATCTTAATATAATGCTATCAATATTGATTAGCGTTTCATGCAAACTTGAAATATTTAATTTAAAAATGAGATAAAATAAAAATAAAAATATTGTTTAATTTTATTTTGCGCAAGAAAACTTATTATTGATAGGAACGTACTATTAAACAGTATTTTATGTTGATTCGTATCGATATAATAATGGACTTAACTTGAACACAATAATGAATAAATACATATGTACAAGGTGGGCCAAAAGTACCGGAACCCTTGAATATTTCGAAAACTAAGCAGTGTAGAAAAAAATGTTTTGAATGAAACTTGTAGGGTTCAAAATAAGACATTTATTGGTAACCTTGAGAGCTTTCCAAAACACTATAATAAAATTATTTTCATTAAGTACTTTCTGAGTTATGAGGCTTGAACGTTATAGTACCGTCGGCATTAGCATTATCCAAAATGTACATACCACATGGAGGTTGCCTGGTCGGATTCAAATTGCCTGATTGTACGTTCAACAATTTATTTAGAAATACCATTGTCTTGATCACAAAAGATTTCATTCAATTATGGAAAGATGCAAACATCTAAATTAGTAGAACGGCTAGAAAGTACATAAATCAGAAATTAGTTTTACGAATTCACGAGAATTTAACTTCATCTAATCTAGCAGTTACTTTTATTTTTAACATCTTTTTTGTAATTGACGAATCGAGGGTCTTTATCGTTTTTGACAGAAAATCGAAAAATAATTACAGTTCGAATACAAAAGAAATGCAAATTGTGATACTACAATTTAAACAAAACACGACTGTTGCGTAAAATATAAATTTATTGAAATCAACGATGATTGTATATAAGTAGCATTTTTTACATTACAGCGATAGATTTAAAAATACTGATGATTAATAAAATAGATTTTTACAATATAATGACAAATGCAAAAAATAATAAATTTTTGTAAAACTTTAAAAGTTAAGAAAACCACTTTTTTAAAAAATGCTACAATTGAATTAATACAATTATGTTTTCACAATAATATATATTTTGAAAGAAATATTGATTAAATGCATTATCATTCAATTGCTAAAAATTTTAAATTTATTTTTAAAACAAAGTACATCAAAGTATTTTTGGTAGTATTAAACAAAATGCTTTAAATAAAACATTTTTTAAAAATAAATATCATAATTTATAAAATAAGCAAAAAATAACTAATTACAGAAAATCCATTTCATAAAATGTAATTATAATTTCCTTCTTTGAGATTATTGCATTACTAATAAATAGTAAAACAGCGTGACATAATTAGGTATATTTAACATATTTAAAAATTATATTTATATATATATATATATATTACAGTAATTGTTACAATGTTTTATTACATTATAATTAATACACACACAAATATTTATCAAATATTCAAAATATAAAATCTTTTAGACTATTTTTTACACATTAATAAATTATTTTTTTCATTAATACAAAAAAACTAAATAATATATTGTTACATAATTAAGTTAAATACATATTGATAAAATTAGATATAACATAATTTATACATATAAGCAATCAGCCTTAATAAGATAACAGGAAGGTTATCAATCATTATAAATTTTCTTTCCTTTTTTGCTCATCCTTATATATGTCTCCCTCTTTTAACAATTGTTACGTACTCTTTAACATAATAATCCTAAATATAACTCTCTGTTACATAAAACCCATAATAGGTTTTTGAATTGTTTTAATCATTTAATTTTTTTCCTGAATCTCTTTCTCTTTTTCTTAGTATTTATTAATTTTTAAATATTAAACATTTCTAATTATATGTTTATAAATTCTGCATTACTAATCAGAGAAACGATAAAAATTATGCAATTGTAATAATTATTAATACAATTATTATTATTATTATTGGTATTATTATTATATTATTATAATTATTAATTTTATAATTAATATTAACAATAAAAAACTTCCGGATAGAATTACGAACACTATAAGTTTGGGTCAAAATTTCGCTATGTCGTTACAGCACTCGAATAATAAAGATCGACTTACAATTAGATATACGTTGGACTTACAAGGAAAGGGTCGGAAGTGTCCCCCTCCGATTTTAATGAGCTTTGAATATGTTGTAGTCTAGATCAAAATAGAAGACACGTATTTTTTTATAAGTGCTAATTTGGCCGTTAAGAGGGTGAAACACCTTCTTGAAAAAAATCGATTTTTTCATTTCTCAGCAAATACCGTCGAAGCGATAAGAGATATAAAGAAAAGTTTCAAATAAAAATTTTATGGTTTTTAATGTACTTCAAAATCATGTAATCAGATTTGTCGAAAATGTCATATTTTTCGAAATCCCCCCCCCTCCCTTTCAATGTTTAAAAATTTTTAAATTTGTCTCATAACAAAACTTATAGCTCATTTAACGACAAATTCAATCATATATAATAAAGTTGTATTCCGAAGTCGCATTTTTCAGAAATAAATTAAAAATATCCCTATACACTACTATACGCCCGCTTTATCCGCCTCATGACGCTCGTTATTCACAGCGACAGTTATTTTTCTTCGCAAACTCACAGAGGCAACCATAAATTAGCAATAAATAATTTATGAGAATATATTTTTGTAAATTATAGAAATTATATTTATAAATATAATTTATAATTATATAATATATATAATTATAATATATATATTATGTGACAATAAATATACATATAATTTATATGGAAAAGAAATGTTTTTAATGCATGAAAAATAAAACTAGTCGGACAAGGAAAATTATTGATCAGATGTCGAGATTAATAGATCCAATTCTATGAATAAACTTGAATTTTAAGAAAAATAGTCGTTTTTTATAATAAAGTAAACAAATTTTAAATGATAAAGAACGTTTTTATGCAAATATACATTTTTTTGTTAAAAGTTTTATAAATAAAACATATTTATATGTTACTATATTTTAATTTATACATTTTTGCAGATAACATCCTTGCTCATATACAACATACATTACATACTTGAAAGAAATAGAGTATTTTACTAATCAAAATATTCTGTTTTATAATATTTAATTTCTTAAAGTATAAAGAAAATGTAATACACATTGTCTTACATTATTAAGTCATTATACAGGGTTTGTCCGGAAAGTAATGCGTCGCATTTTTTTAAAAAAGAATTTATTGATCGCATAGGTAAAACAACTTAAAATTGTTCGAAGTATGACCCTTCTGCGTCAATACATTTTTGCCAACGCGATTTCCATGCGTCATAAGATTTCTGGAACTCCTTGACTGGGATGCTGTTCAGGGAGGCCGTCGAAGTAGCTTGTACGTTGTCAACCGACTCGAGCTGTTGTCCTTTGAGCTCCCTTTTCAGCCGAGGAAATAAAAAAAAGTCCGCCGGGGCCAAGTCGGGACTGTAGGGCGGCTGCGGCACCGTTGCCACACCGATCCGGGTCAGGTAGGCCGTAACTCCTCGCACTGCGGGAGAGTTGGATGCCGGGTATACCCTGGCGTCAGAGGGGGCACGCCCACCTCTGCCGACCGGAGAAAGGAGCCGAATGCCGGGTACCCCCAGGCAGCGGAGGGGTCAAACCCACCTCCGTCGGCCGGACACAGGAGACAGAATGCCGGGCACTCCCAGGCAGCGAAGGGGTTAAACCCACCTCCGTCGGTCGCAGAAAAGAAAACCGAACGCCGGGTACTCCCAGGCAGCGAAGGGGTTACAACTACCTTCGTCGGTCGCAGAAAGGAAAGTCGAACGCCGGGAACTCCCAGGCTCTGAAGAGGGTACTCCCGTCTTCATCGACTGTCGGGAATCAGGTTTAGGAAGCCTCGGGGACACCCAGAGGCCTGGTGCTAGGATCGGATTGCAGGACAGGACTGGTGCCGGCTCTTCGGATGAGCCGGCTTATATACCAGTGCGGTTCCCCCCACGCGCTTCTTCTCGCGTAGCGGGCATCCCCTCGGAGGGGATGAATCACGCGACCGGCGGATGGTCGGCTCGGCGCGTCGGGCAGATGTCCGGCCCGGCGTAATCAGTGACGACCATTAAGGGGTCGTCACAACTGTTACATAATTTTTACAAAATAATTTAATATAAAAAATAGAATTGTTAAATGGAGCTCATTATGTTCAACGACTTTAAACCGTTTTCTAAAATCTATGATTTTTGAAATATCAGTGCATTTTGTTACTTTTTTTCATTTTATATACATATTTTTGTGAATAAAATAAGATAAAATCAGTTGTTTAGAAAAATATTTTTTTTATTTAACAAATAAGAAAAGTATATATTTAAAAAAAAATGAAAACATTTCTTTATTTTACTTGTTTTTTAAATTTCTTAAAAACGTTTACATTTTATGTCTAATTGAGGTTTACTGCAAATGAAATATAAAATACTAAAGTTCAGTTGCACAAAATATTAACCTGCAATCGTTTTCTTTGCATTCTTGAATAAAAGAGATTAAACATTACTTCCATGGCAAATATCAATTCCACTAAAATCTTCATTGTTTGGATGTAGTCTTCTCGATATATAAGACGTATACATTTAATCACTATATATTTTTGAATTATCATTATTAATATATAAATAAACCATAGAATATTGTAAGAAAAAGTTTTAAATTTGCCAGCTTTAGAGTCTATCAACCAAATAGTAATAAACAACCCGCACATGTGTAACGCATATAATATTCTATCATATTTTATGTTGCTATTTGCACACTATTTATATTTTAAAAATTTGAAAAATTTTGGAACAAAACGCTATAAATTATGCACCATACAGGATATAGCAAAAATAAGACGATGTTAATTGAGTAAAATTTATACAATTTTTTAGTTACACATACTATTAATTGAATACTATTTTTTAATTCACACATTTACACAAATATAAATTGTTGTTAAATAGAAAATTTCACAAAAAAATACAATATATGATTCAGAAAGTATTTTGACAACAAACAAGTATTCGTTTGTTGTGTGTTATATCATCTATATATATAAGTATATATTCTATATATATATATATCTATTCTATATATATAAGTACCGTCCGTCTGTTTGTATGTACACGAACTACTTCCGCATTTTTGGACCGATTTTCGTGAAACTGGTACCAAAATGTTGCAAATTTTTCGGGGGTAGTTGCTGTGGGGTTTTTTAAAATTATTTAATTTTTATTTTCTAAAGAAAGCAGCAAAAATGCATGCAACTCAAGTCAGCATAATGTAAGTAGAGAGAGAGAGAGAGAGAGAGAGAGACGCACACTCTCTCTCTCTCCCTTTCTCTTCCTCTCTCCCTCTCTCTCTCTCTCCTTTCTCTCCCTCTCTCTCTCACTCTCACACTTTACTTTTTTAGATAAATATCTATAAATTAAATATTAGATATTTGATACATAGTATATATAGACATATATTATTTTTAATAAATAGATATATAGATACATATATACTTATATATAAATAGATATTACATATAATTTGAATATAAAAATTATTATAAAAAAAAACATTTTTATACATCAAATTTTATTTTTTTTTTATTTTTCTTGTTCTTCTTGTCATCACTAATATCTTTT